ACCCTCCTCATATATATATATATATATATATATATATGTTAGCTTTATTTCAAAAATGGGTAAAGATAAATTTAATAAGAGTGAACAATATTAAATGCGATTTTATTTTCTAATCTTTTTAGAATTTAATTTTTAGTTTTAGTAATTTTTTTTTTGTCAATTTTTAATCTTTCATCCATTTTTTATCATATAAATTACTTTCTAGGGATTAAGTTTTCTTGATAATGTGTGTTAATAAATGAGGAGTCATTAGAATATACATATTTGCATAGCTGTGAATTAAATGTCAAATCATATGAAATGTATCATTTTTTTATTTGCTCTAGTAATTGCTACTATTAGACAATTATGTGGACAAATGATTTGGTAGTCCTGTGGGTATATGAGTGATGAGAAGAAATTATATGTACTATATGTAGGGATGATAAAATGAGTCTCAACCTTTGGTCAGTCCATTGACCCGCTATAAATTGAAGATTGAATTAAATATCTTAGTATGTGTACCTATCCTTCGCCATATGATTTGACATCTACTAAGAAGTCACTTAAATATTAGTAGTATAATCAATCATCACTTATTACCATACATCATTATAAAATTAAGAAGACTTAATTCTGATGACTAATATATATAGTGAAAAATTAATAAAAGATTAAAAATTATTTACTAGTTTTGTTGATGACTAATGTTTATTAAAGAACTTCACTAACCACCTTTAGTAGATATTTAATAATAGTTATTTACTTTTAAAAAAATCAATTTTATACATGTAGCTCCTAATCATGTTTTGTTATATGTAATAATTATTACTCTTTTTCAAAAGAATATAAGTTCAACTAATTAATATTGTTAATAAATTGCATGTGGAATGGAAAATTTCACTCCCTTCATCAACGTCATCTTAAATTATTTTTACACATATAAAGAAAATAATAAAATGATGAAAAAGAAAAATGATTTTACATAATTTATCCTATGATTAACCTCTTTGTTAGAAACGATAGAACACAACAACCACTTTTCAAAAAATATTATTATGAGTATAGATAAAATAAAAAAGATGATTAATACTACATTGAAAAGATAATTTAACACGTATTGTGAAGCTTATTTTTTTGTTTTGACATAACACTTATTTATGGTACGGAGGAAGTGGTAATATAAAAATTTTGTCTTATAAAATGACATATTTCTTTCTATACATAGCGACATGTATATTTGTCACTAAAAATTATTTTTACATACACTATAATATAATAGATGTTGATATATTGTTAAAAAGTATAAATATTAATTATAATGACATATAATATATATTGTTGAATTTCATTTAAAATCATCAACACTAAAATTTATGTAATTAATTATATATCAAATAGATTTATAATTACATATATCATATTTATATTAATATTTTTTATATATCATTATATATAACATTTTCTAATATAATATGTATAATAATTAATAATCATCACTCTTTTCAAAAGGAACTTAACTAATTAATATTGTTAATAATTAAATAATTAACTAGATGGAGAATTCTAGTATGTATTTTTTTTTTCATTTATATGTGAGAATCATCAAAATCTGTATTTTTATTTCATTTATATGTGAGAATCAAATACAAGCAAGTTAAAATAATTCATGCATCTTGACCAATCGAATTAAATTTATCTTTTAATAAGTTTTGGTATGTATAATAATCATTACTCTTTTTATTTTATAATAAGAATTGTCCTAAATTGTTTTATACAAATAAAAAAATAATAAATAAATAAAATAATAATAATATACAAAATTAACATTTTAAATACGATAATAATTTTTAAAAAATATTACAAAAAATATACATAAAAATAAAATAATTAATTTTAGATTAAAAAGTTAACTATTGTGAGTCATTGCTATTGTGGAATTTCGTGTGATTAACGATCACATGCATCACAATTGCAGGAACATTACCGTTGAAAAAAAAAAAAAAAAAAAACATCACAATTTAGAACATTGGTTAGTCCATTTTGCCCAAGTTGCACCTATGCTTCACTCTCTTTAAATACTCACCAACCATCTCTCTTTTTCTTGCCTAACTATCTCACAATTCCAAACCCGAAAAGACGAGAGAATTATGGTGAGTTCGATTTCCTCTTCCCTTGCTCTCTTCTCTTGTCTTCTACTTCCCTTTCTTCTCGTTAATTAACTTTTACCACTCTGTACTTCATTTATCGTTTAATTTAATTCACACTTTCTTTCTAATTCTCTTGTATAGGAATTAGAACGAAACCAGATAACCACATGGGAAGGATATGTTAATTGGAGGAACAAGCCAGCTCTCAGAAGCAGTCATGGTGGCATGTTTGCTGCTTCCTTCGTTTTAGGTCTGTCCCAATTCCTACATTCATTCTATCTATATATATATATATAAATATATCACACTATTGAGTTATATATATATATCTCAATAGTATGATATATTTATATACACATACATATACTTAAATAATTATTTATGTAAATGTATTATGAGCTTGTGGTAAGATCTATGATGGGTTTAGAATTAATTTAAAAAGTCTAAGATAACCAACATTAAAAGTCACGTCTACGGTAGTGATCCGGAGAATTTGAATCGGAGTTAAAACCAGTGCAAGTGGTTGTTTACTTCATATATGTATATGAGATTGACGATAGTTATGAATCATAGGTAGCACTAATTTGAAATTGTGTTTGTGAAGTGGCGGAAATATTTGAGAATCTGGCATATATAGCCAATGCAAGCAATTTGGTGTTGTATTTGAACCAGCACATGCACATGTCCCTTTCCAAATCAGCCAACAGTGTCACAAATTTCATGGGAACGGCGTTCTTCCTTGGTCTGCTTGGAGGTTTCTTATCTGATGCTCTTTTCACCACTTATCACATCTACCTCATAAGTGCAGTGATTGAACTCCTGGTATGCACCCTAGCTCCACCACCGTATCTATGTCTGAGATCACTTGTGAATTAATATATGACTTTAATTTCTCTCACACACTTCCAAATCGGCTGGTACGTAATTATTATTTATTATTGATGCCTTTTTATTTCCCTTGCCCATTGTTCTATGATTCTCGGTTGAGAGGGGGAGAAGAGGTTGAAATTTGATTAGTATTATATTAAGTTCCTTTGAGAGCAAGCGTCTTTCAAAAACTGCATAGAAAACTGAAATACAGTAATTAATGGCATGTTTCATAAGCGATCGGAGTTCATGTATATAGATGGATGGGAAAACTGCATACGTTTCCTTCCTTTCTATTGTAAAGTACTGTATCAGAATAGAAGAAATATGCCATAAAAATTACAATCTCTCAAAATATAGGGAGAAAGAAATAAGGAAATAAGATAACTTTTATATATATATATATATATATAGTTCATGTATATAGATGGATGGGCAAACCGCATACGTTTCCTTCCTTCTATTGAAAAGTACTGTATTAGAATAGAAGAAATATACCATAAAAATTACAATCTCTCAAAATATAGGAGAAAGAAATAAAGAAATAAGATAACTTTTATATATATATATACACGATTTTTGTTTTGTTTTACTATATTAAAAAAAAATCTTTCCTTACATATTCTTTTTCTTACTAAATAACACACAAATGCAAATCGCAAGGACGAATCTACTTGTAATGCAGGGGTGGCCTTGGCCCCCAAAATTTATATACACACATTAGTTGAAATCATACGAAGAAAAAAAACATTCAAACAATAAATAAATAAATAAATAAATAAATATATATATATAATTATTTGATACACTTCTATTTTTATAATTTAATTCTGCATAAATTTTCCTTTTATCTCTCCCTTTTTCATTCAAGAAAAAAAAATTAGTCTGGAAGAAATTTTTTTTATGCCCTGGAATAATAGTTCCTGAAAATAAAAAATCTTGGGAATCAATATGTTGGAAATGATTAAATCTAATTGGTTGATTATATATTTTTGTGAATGTTCATAAATATTAATTGAAAATCAAAGATTTTTACAATTATGCTAATTAAAGCAACATAATATTTTTAGGATTTATAGCTTTTACTTCATTAATGTAACATTTTTACTGTAATAAAACATCCAATTTTTCCAGAATGTTAGATCTTATTTACTCCATGGGAACAATTTATTGGAAAAGTTGTATAAAAAGTATTTCAAGAAATCATGTTTCTTATGAATGATATTTTTTCTATAATAAATTAAATATGAGAAACTAATATTTTTATTAAAATTTTATAATTTTAATTATTTAAAAAATTCTATAGATGTTTCGTTGAAATTTTAAATTTTAAAAATGTCATAAATGTTTTCTAGAAATAGGAAATAGGTGGGGTTAATGAAATAATTAAATTTTAATTTACAAAACTGAATTATTTAAAACTATTGTAAATGTTTTCTTAAAATTTCAAACTTCTAAAAGTTATAAATTCTTAAAATTTCTTTTAGTACGGTTATGAAAATCACGTACTAATTTTTTTATTATTAAGTATTATTATTTTATGAATAAAAACTAAAATTAATGACTAATTTATAGGATTAAGGAGAATTTGTAGTAATTGATGAGTGTATTCTTCTTTGTCTTTTATGGCATATGTATCTTATAAAAATAAAGTACAGAATTATTTAAAAAAAAATTTATATTAGTTAATATATTAAAATATATTATTTTTTTTGAATAATTTATAACTTCATTATTAAATTGCTAATGTTAATATTTCCTTTTTAAATCTAATTCTCTTTCAAAATAATAGAAAATGTTTGTTGTATACATAATTTATTCATGTATCACAAATGAATGTGGTAATTGGTATAGATTATACTATCATCCATTGTTTAAATTAATATGCGTTCTTCAATTAATAATATCTCTTTCATTCGCTAATAACTTTATTTTGTTTCTAATACCTTTTATAAAATGATAAATTAACAAATTAAAAAATCATTTTAATCAAATGATATATGAAATATTTTAGTTAAAATAAAGTAAGTGCATTTAGTTATTTTTTTATTAATGAATAAGCTTATATTAATTACTATAATATTTTTAATAATATATATTAATTTTTTATTACAAAAATAAAAAGGAATCGATAATACATAGTTATTGAAACATACAAATAAAATGCTTCCTTCATGGTTCATCTTTTCATCGCACCGATCATGCTCTAATTTCATACAAATCATCATCTCACTTAAAAGAGAGAGCAAAACAGGTTGTTTTCTAGTGAATATATAAAATGAAGTGTTACAATTACAAAAATTGATGTCCAAAAGTCGGTACTTATTTGTCTTATATGTGCATTGTCATTTTAATTCATTGATAACCCAGATAATATTTTGTTGCAGTTAACACTATAAATTAAAATAAACAAATGAAAAGAATGTACAATATTCTTATTATACTTAATTATTTTGCACAATTGTACAAAATGACTAAGGGAATGGGAACTTGTGCTGCAGGGATTAGTTGTGCTCACTATACAAGCTCGTTCACCTTCACTGCAGCCACCAAAATGTGACTCAGCCACCACCCTATGCCATGAAGTTAGTGGTGGAAAAGCAGCAATTTTGTATGCAGGACTTTATTTGGTGGCTCTTGGAATTGGAGGGTGTAAGGGGTCATTACCATCACATGGTGCTCAACAATTAGATGAGAACACCCCATCTGGAAGGAAGCAACGATCAACCTTCTTCAACTACTTTGTGTTTTGCTTGTCAACTGGTGGCCTTATTGCAGTTACATTTGTGGTGTGGGTTGAAGATAACAAAGGGTGGGAATGGGGTTTTATAATCTCTACTATAAGCATATCTGTATCTTTCCTAATATTTTTGGCAGGCTCAACTACCTACAGAAGCAAGATCCCTTCTAGAAGTCCACTTACAACTATTTTGAAGGTAATAACTATGAAGTTTTGTTGTTTTCAGTTTTGTGCTTAGTTATAAGGTGGACTAAATAACTTTTGAAAAAAAGCCTTTTTAAAGTAAAGTAGCTTTTATCGTGAAAATTCTTAAAGAAAGACTTTCTATATTTGGATAAGATTTTTTTTAATAAAGTAACATTTAGTAGAAAATAAGAAGGCAAAATTTCTTAATTAAGTTAAAATCAACTAATGCAATTCTAGCAAATATGCTTCTTTTTTTTACAAGCAGGTACTAGTTGCTGCTACACTTAACGGTTGCTTCAGGAGAAATTCTAGTAATATTATGGTGGAAGAATATGCCGTAGAAAACAAGGGGACTGAAGCTCCAACCAATACCTTAAAATTTCTCAATAAAGCAATTGAAAACAACACACAGTGTTTAGCAATGAAATGCACTGTGGAGGAAGTAGAAGATGTGAAGATAGTGTTAAAAGGACTACCCATATTTGTTTGCACCATTATGCTAAATTGCTGCGTGGCTCAGCTATCCACTTTCTCTATTGAACAGGCTGCAACAATGAACACCAAACTTGGTTCCTTCACGGTGCCACCAGCCTCCTTATCAGTTTTCCCATTGGTCTTTATCTTGATTTTGGCACCAATTTATGACCACATCATCATCCCATTTGTAAGAAAAGTAACCAAAACAGAAATGGGCATCACTCATCTCCAACGAATTGGAATTGGATTAGTCCTCTCTATAATTTCTATGATAGTGGCAGCAATTGTTGAAGTAAAGAGGAAACAGGTAGCCATTCACTCCGGCCTCATAGATACAACCAAACCATTACCCATCACATTTTTTTGGATTGCTCTCCAGTTCTTGTTCCTTGGTTCTGCTGATCTTTTCACCCTTGCTGGGATGTTGGAATTTTTCTTCACAGAGGCACCAACTAGGATGAGATCCTTGGCTTCATCACTTTCTTGGGTCTCTGTGGCTTTTGGGTACTACCTAAGTTCAGCAATTGTATCAATAGTGAATAGAGTCACTGGTAATGCCTCTCATAAACCGTGGCTATCTGGGGCCAACCTTAACCACTATCACTTAGAGAGGTTTTACTGGCTTATGTGTGTGCTTAGTGTGTTGAATTTCTTACACTACCTGTTTTGGGCTATTAGATACAAATATAGAGGAAAAGGAACTACAACTGAATGAAAAAATTGAAAGGGAAGTCTTCAAGTGGTTTAAATTTAATGTCTTAAGTATAAAAGGTCATTGATATGGTCAAAATATTTTCAACCCATTCTTGTTGTAACTTTATATACTTGCACTAACATACAATTGACCGGATCAACAATGCCTTGCAATAAAAATGTCACTGCAACATTTTTTAATTTAGGCTAAAAGAAAAATTGTGGTTAGACGTGTAAAAATTGTGGGTTAAAGTTTAAGCCACAAAATTATCACGATTTTTTAAATGCGCTTTAAGTAGTCGTGATATTTGTTAATAAGTAACGATTTTTTGTTTTCGGTCACCGGAAACAAAATAATCATGGGTTTAAATATTGAGATTGACCACACTTTTTTTTTGTGTTTATATTTTTAGGACCACAAGTATTTGATTGTGGCCAAATATAATAAGCAACAACCATAGTATTTTATAGTATACCTCTTTAGGTGTTGTCTAATCATTTAGGTCATGATTTTCTAAATGTTATCATGCATGTTTAGACCACATTTTATAAAAAATGTGGACCTTTGCAGTTTTTCCAACAAAGAATTATTGTACTCTAAATGTTTAGGCCATGATTTTTTAAGTGTTTAGACCACGAATTTTTAGTAGTTATATATCATCACATTTAATTATTTCAAAAATAGTATATATAGTAAATTGTTGTTTGAGCCATAATCATATAATTATTTATCATTTATTAGTGGCAATACTTAATCATTTACGTTTATAATAAAATAAAACAATATACAAAAAATATTTACCTAATAAAATATTTAAATTAATAATAATACAAACTAAAACATAAACCATATATATATATATATATATA